GTTTGAAAACGTGGGATTTTTGCTATTTAGCAGGGTCCTTTAGTTTTTTTCTTTTAAGTGTTCCATAAAATTTTTATGGACTTCCTTATGATTGCTATGTTGAACTATTTCTCTGTGTTCTAGTTCAGTGAAGTAAACAAACACACCAAAGGACAGGCTGAAAATAACAACACTAGGAAATAGCTAGAGAAATGGCTCCGTGGTTGGGAGCATTGGCTGCTCTTCTAGAAGACCGGAGTTCAATTCCTAGCAACTATGTGGCAGCTCACAACTGTCTGTAACTCCAGTTTCAGAGAATCCATGGTAACAGATATGCATGTGGTGCACCTATATATGTGTGAAGGCAAAGTATCCATATAAAAATAAATCTTAAAAAAAATAATACTTTACATATTGTTGAGTTTGTTTATAATTTGTGGGAAATAGGTCTTGTCAATTATCAAGAACACCTCCTTGTTTTTAAGAACTAGGTAGCTTTGTTAAAAATAATACAAACTAATTAGCATGTGTGTGACAAACACATGTTCTTGGGGGACTGTGACTTAGAGGACATGGCAGGAGGATTGGATAGTCGGTCTTAGCAACACAGGCCAGGTGACAGTGCCCCTGGTTGGTATATAATTGAGATGGGCCCAGCAGATCTTGGATATGGCTGCTGTACTGCCAACTGCGTTCCTAGAATGAATTAGAAACCACTCAGCTTCAGTATCTGTCCCAGGCTCAGTCCCAAGAGAAAGCATCTGGCCAGCCTAGAAGGCTCACCCCAGGACCCATTTGGGCACCCCAGCTGGCCTCACAATGAAAGGTAGGGCTGCTCCCCAGAGGACTCATAAAGGTGGGCTCAGAAGTCAAGTAGCCCCTCATCCCCAAAGCAGCACCCCAGAAGACAAACATTTACATCCATCACGGGGATCCTTGAAAAAGAGAGAGTGAGCACTTTCCATCAAAAGAAGAAAAGAAAGAGAAGTTAGTGGCTCACTCCATTTGCTTTCAAAAGCAGCACTTGCAGAAATGTAGCTCTCCAGACTTCAGACTCAGAATCATGTGAGGTATGTGCTCAAGCCTAACTTTAGCAGGCTCTTTTCCCTGTTTGAATATAGTGCATTTGGAGTGGAAACCAACAGTGTGCCCCATTAACCAGGAAAATGATCAGGCCGGCTTTGCTAACTATGACCCATTTAAGGGAATGGATCTGGAGGAAGCAGATTCCAAAGCTTACAGTCATGAGCGTCTCAAGAGATGAGTTCCCATATGGAATGGTGGATCTGTAGTCCTGCCTAGGGTGACAGTGAAGAGATAGCCTGATTTGGAAGAAGCAGCCACAAGCAATCAACCCTAGAGGTAGACTAGGATCTGTCCTCCCCAAGGGTGTACGATTGCCAACAGGTAGGTGCCTGGCTCAGCTTTAGAAGAGGCAAAGATGATGACTTTGTGGCAGCCTTGTCTCCATTTTATTTCAGCCATCCTTTACTGGCTATCTCCTGTGTACCAGGCCCTGAGGATACCTGAAGGAGTCAGTATCTAAATGTCACACATCATCCAGGACAGATCAGGTCAAAGCCACAGAAACAATGTGTTTGTACCTTGGTCTGTTGTCCTGAAGTTGTATCCAGAAAGCCTGCATTGTCCTGGGAAAGTGGCAGAATTGGGGCAGGCAGGCAGATATTCTAAGAATAGTGTTTGTTTCAGCCTTTTGATACCTTCAGGGATGCTGGTTAAAAATGCAAATTGGTTAGGACTGGCAAGATGGCTCAGTGGGGCAAAACCAAACAAAACAAACAACTGTTGAAGCTATGAGTTCAATCTCAGAACCCATAGTAGGAGGAGAGAACCAATCCCAGAAACTCCTGAAAGTTGTCCTCTGAATTAGGTGCCACTATATACATCACCCTGCCCCACAATAAATAAATAAAAAATTAAAGTGCAGATTAATAAACCCCACCCCAGTAGTTAGATTTGCCAACAGTATTTTAAGTCAACACCCATTTTAAAATAAATATTTAATATTTTAAATTAAATATTAAATATTAAAATATTTTTTAAAATAAAAAAATACTCGTTTTGTGTGTGTGAATGTTTTTGCTTGTGTTAATATGTATATCATGCTGGTGCCTGATGCCTATGGAGTCCAGAAAATATTATCACCTGGAACTGGAATTTTGAATGGTTGTGCATCACCTATCACCATGTGGGTACTGGGAACTGGACCCAGGTCCTCTGCAAGACCAAGTGCTCTTAACTTCTCAGCCACCTCTCCAGCCCCCAAAGCCTACTTTATAGAGATACAGGTTATTTTCTGTCCTTTAGCTGCTCTCAGCAGTGGCTCTTGGCACCTGAATGAGTCCTAAAACTTTGCCTTTTCTTTCCCTCTTTTGTTTTTTGTGAGACGGGGTTTCTCTACGTAGCCCTATTTTCTCTGTAGACCAGGTTGGCCTCAAACTCAGGGATTTGCCTCTGCCTAAGGTTTTCATGTCTACTAACATTGAGGAGAAAATCTTTTTTTTTTTTTTGCCTGACTTTCATCAACTGCCTGCTTCATAACTCTCGAGATTTTGATATTTTCTTAAATTTTAGTATTGAAGAGGCATCTGCACCTTTTGCAGGGGGGCGGGTAAGGAAATGTGTACACTGAATCCCACTTAGCTGCTGAAGTGATGGGCACCTCCTTGCTGAGCAGAGGTATTCTCTTCCCTTTGGGATTTCCTCTGTTCATTTTCAGAGGGAGCTAAAGATTGTTTATTCATTGCTCTAGGGGAGATTCTATCTGTGGCTGTGGCTTGGTCTCATTACCAGGAAATGTGTCTTTCTCAGCACCTGAGCCTTTAATCCATCCAGTCTGAGTCCCTCTAACAAAGAACAAGCTGAGGCATGTGGGGTGTGTGTGTGTGTGTGTGTGTGTGTGTGTGTGTGTGTGTGTGTCTGTGTGTGTCTGTGTGTGTGTGTTCAGAAGAAGCCCTTGGGAGCCATCGCCAGGGTCACAGGGCACATTGTGGCTATGATGGAGCTTGATCCCAGGAGCCACCTGTAGACTGAAGTGGCTGGTAATTTGCTAGAAGCCTTCCGAGGCATTCTGTTGTGTGTAGCTCTGTAAAGAAGTAATTGGAGCAGGATGGGAGGTAGAAAGGAGCAAAATCTGAAGGGATTATAGATATATAGGGTATATAGGAATTCGCATTCCTATAGCTAGGAATTTTCTTCTTCATCCAATCTGCTCAAGAAATCCTACCTCTTATCTGGTTTTAATGTAAACTTGTTCTAAACTTTAGTAATAAAAAACTTTAGTAATAAATCCTGTACTGCATTTTGTGCTGTTACCTCCCTGGCTGCTCTCAGCAGGGTCCGACTTAGAATGTAGGCAGTTCTTGATTGTCCCCATGTCCCCTTGCCAGTCTGAATTTTAGGGCAACTTTATGCTTTCCCTGAAGTGTCTGTCTAGCACAAAAATGAAAGCCTGTCTTCTAGACCAAGGCACTTCAACTCCTTTTACCCAAGAACATTTGGGTTTTTTTTTGTTTGTTTGTTTGCTTGTTTTTGGTTTTTGAGACAGGATTTCTCTATGTTTGCTTTGGCTGTCCTGGAACTTGCTCTGTAACCAGGCTGGCCTAGAACTCTTAGAGATCCACTGGCCTTTTTCTCCCAAGTGCTGGAATTAAAGGTGTGCACCATCATTATCTGGCACACAAGAACTTTTTAGTGCAAATCTGGAAATGTAGGCATACAAATTAAACATTTACTGATAATAGATGATAAATAATTTTATTTCAAAACAATTTCGAGTCATATAATTTACCACGTACTTAAAGCAAATTTACATGCCAATAAGGTAAATGTGCTTCTTTGTTTAACATAATACAACTCCAAGATACACTAATTTGAAACATGCCAAGAAATGATGGCAGGAAAATATTAAAGTTCCTTGTGTTCCATAATTAAAGCATTATGTCTCTATGCCAGCAGAACTCCTTGTAAGTAAAAACTCTGCACTCTATAAGGTACAGCAGTCTGGAATCTGAACTAAGGCATTTCTGGCAGTGTTTGTTCATGTTGCATGACAAGATGGAATGTTCACTGCAAAGCATGTGTGCTGTGTGTTCAGAACCAAGACTACAGTGAAACCTCATGCAACACTGGTAAGCTGTGCAGTCTCCAGCCTTCTAGGTTGCTTGCTGATTTATTTACCCTCATGAGATAGTGTAAGAAGAAGTCAGGATTTTTGGCTTTTGTTTTTTGTTTGTTTGAGACATGGTTTCTCTGTGTAGTCCTGGCTGTTCTGGAACTCACTCTGTAGACCAAGCTGGCTTCGAACTCACAGAGATCCACCTGCTTCTGCCTCCTGAGTGCGGGACTCAAAGGTGTGTGCCACCACAGCCTGGTGTGGGTTCTTTATTGCTTGTATTTACCTGCTGAGTAGAGATGTCTTCTGTTAGAATAGTAAGAACCTGTGTTGCCCCTCATCATTGCTATGTCCCTCTCACTTCCCAGACATAGTGGTGGTGACCATCATTAGGATTCCTGTTTCTCACTGTCTCTTCAAAGGTGAACAGGAGCCTCCTTTGGCCCTGCCTCTCATCTCCTTGGTGCCCAGTCATGGAGAGACTTGGAATGTCCATTTTCAAGAACAAACTCTGCTCGGTGTTTCCTGACCCTGGAAAGGGCTGTGTTCTGAATCATCCCGTTCCCTAGCTCTGACAGTCCTTACCTGCAGCTCTGCAGCAGCTGCGTGCTTGGTTTCCACACACCCCAATTAGGCCTAAGTGTTTAACTTTAAGCCATGCCACATCCTCTGGGGGTAGAATCCTGGGGCAGGCAAGGCAGTCTCTAAGTAACCAATGCTCTTTCTTTCCCTACCAGGCAATACTTTGAGTGAATGACCTCCTGGGAGACCATTCCTCTGCTCCTCTTGCTACCAGCCAGGAGGCAGAAGATTCCACAGGTTCAGGAAAGGCCCATCACCTCTGACCTTCCAGTAACTACCTCATGCTTGGTGGACCAGGATGACTATGGCTCTTGTATTCAGTGTCCTGTTGCTGGCGCTATGTGAAAATATTGCTTCAGGAGCTCAGTCTACATCGACAAGCACTCCTGGGGCACTGAATTATGAATTGCCTACCTCAGAGTATGAGACCCCAGACACATTCAACGCCGGGATTGTTGGCCCTCTCTACCAAATGGTACACATCTTCCTCGACGTGGTCCAGCCGAATGATTTCCCTGAAGGTAAGTATTGACCACGGAGAAGATGGATTTGTCTCTCTTGGTTTCTGAATGACCACACCACCCGTACAGAAGATATTCAGCACTGTGCAGTAAGTACAGTATGATGTTCAAAGCTTTGGCTATCCAGGGGCAGAAAATATTTATATAGAATTTAGAAAAATGTGTATCTGGTTAGGCTAGGTGAGAAACAAAATCAAATCTTTCTGCTTGGTTGATTTTTCAGTTTCTATTGCTTTGTTTTGCATTGAACAATGCATTGTTCCAAAGCACAAATATACACAAAGTGAAAATTAGGGTAAAAATGCAAGTTCTTTGTTGTGGAATGAGAAGACTGATAATTACTTGGCTGCTGTTGGTTGTGTCCCTTAAAAGTTTAACTCTTTTCTTCCCACCACCAAACGCAGTCTTAAAGCAAGGACAGACCTGTCTAGACCTGAATTCTGATTGAAGGTTTCAGTACTAAGAGTTTATTGGGAGGGGGGAGGTGGCAGGGCATGTTGGTCACTTCAGGGCGGTGGAGCTTTGTGCTCAGGGCTATTGTTCCCTATACACAATACTGATGTTTCTTTGGCCTTCTTGTAGTTCTTTAACCTGGAAGCCCCCTGGTGTGTGTGATTACAGGGACAATCTGTGAGACAATGGCCTGAATTTTTGGTGAACTTAATTTAAATTACACTCTCCTAAGCTTGACAGAAATTTGAGTACTATCATCGGTTATAAAACTTGTTGCTGTCCAAAAGATGTAGACAATAAAATAAAGAGCGCGTAGATAGTCTTGGCTAGTGTTCTAAGAGGTGTGTGTGTGTGTGTGTGTGTGTGTGTGTGTGTGTGTGAGAGAGAGAGAGAGAGAGAGAGAGAGAGAGAGAGAGAGAGAGAGAGAAGGGAGCCTTAAAAACTTCATATTATGGGGCTATGTTGGTTAAGTTTTTTTTTTATTTTTAATAATTCATTTATTTTATTTTATATGTATAGATGTTTTGCCTGTGTGTATGTCTGTGTGAGTGTGTCAGATCCCCTGGTACTGGAGTTACAGACAGTTGTGAGCCACCATGTAGGTGCTGGGATTTGAATCTGGGTTCTCTGGAAGAGCAGCCTATGTGTACTTAACCACTGAGCCAACTCTTGAGCCTGGACTGGTTAAGTTTTAAATGACAACTTGCCAGCACAGAAAATAAGGGATCACCTAGATCAGACTGGCCTGCGGGTATGGGCATGTCTGTGTAGTTTATCTTGACTGCCTTAATTACAGTGGGATGGAAGACCCACACTGGATGTGGACATCACTATTTCAGGAGCCAGGCCCTCACATGAGTGAAGAAAGCTAGCCAAGGAAGCAGGAGAGGTAAGCAGCAGGCAGCTTGGGCACGCTGCTTCCCTCTGCTCTTGACTGTGCATGTGATGTGAGTGGCTGCTTGGGATCCTGCCTTGAATTCCCTGAAATGCCAGGTCATAACCTGGAAGTCTGAGTCAAATTAACCCTTTCCATCCCCTTTTTTGGTGAGGATATTTTAATCACAGCAGTAAAAATTCAATGAGAACAGGGCCCATTTATAGTTTCATTAAAATGCATGTTTATTGACATTTTTTATTGTATTTGTGTTAGATTAGCTTGGCACAGTCTGAAGTACTCTTGTCAAATTTCAATTCTAAGAAATAAGTCAGTCTGGGCCGTTAGTGCCCAGACTTGAAATAACGCTGTCTAGTGCTTCTGTCACTGACTAGAAGAACAAAGTTGGAAATCCATAAGATGAAATGAAAAAACAGGAGAGGTTAGCTGTTAGTGTTGATAGCATAATATCTGTTTGGAATAGCTATCTTGATTTTTTAAAAATAGACTCGCTATGAAAGTTACTATAGAAATAGGTAACTCCTATTATTTTGAGTCATTTTTTAGTTTTGTTTTTCGAGACAGGGTTTCCCTGTGTAGCCTTGGCTGTCCTGGAACTCATTTTGTAGACCAGGCTGGCCTTGAAGTCACAGATCCACCTGCCTCTCCCTCCCAAGTGCTGGGATTAAAGATGTTCACCACTATAGTCTGGATCCTAGTTATCTTAACATTTTTATTTGTGTGTGTGTATCTCTAGTGATTGTATATGTACTTTTGCATATGGATGGAGGTGAATATATGTGTGGATGCTAGAGGCTGACATTGGATATCTTTTATTGCTTTCCACCAGTTAGATACATGCATGTTACCACACATGTCTTGTACATGGGTGCTGGCAATCCAGTCTCAGGTCCTTATGCTTGTGTGGCAGATATTTTCCAACTGAGGTATCATCTCCACAGTCCCCAATCATCTTTTTAAAAAAAATGTATGTACAAAGCTTAGAATTCACTTGTTTTGTGTGAATTTACGGTGAGTTCGGAACAGTTGAAGCTGGCCATATCTCACTCTATGACACATCTTACAATTAGCTTATCCTATAATTTCTTCCATACTCTGTTTGGTGTTACTCCCTCTAAATTTCATAGGAAGTCTCTTCATGCTTAGTAAAACAATGCACATTCAAAGCCCTCATTTCAATGACCAGGCTAGCTGAGGGTGTATTTAAAGGTTTTGAATTCCATCAGCAACATTGTTAGCTTAGAAAAGAGCTGAAGAGTGTAAATCTGAACATTCTAAAGATGTTAGCCTATCTGTAGCTTGGTCTCATCATGGTAAAGTGAGACATGCCCGAGTTGCAGCAGCACACCAAAGCAGAACAGTTTTCCCTTGGAAGGGGAAAATTATTATTGTTTCCAGAACACAATGCTGGATTTGACAGTTGACACCTTAGGGTTTCTATTTTCTTCTCTCATCCCAGTTTTTTTTTTTTTTTTTTTTTTTTTTTTTTCCCCCCCCCCGTTTTTTTTTTTTTTTTTTTTTTTTTACATTGTTCCACCCAATTGCTAGATTTCATAATAGTCTCCAAGTGTCCCTTTTTATTGCCAAGGACATGAATGAAATAGTCATGGCTTTTACCTGGGGCCCATAAATTTCACAGGCACTAAATCATGGGAATATTAACCTAAACAGAAAACCTTGAGACAAGTATAATATGTTGATAGATGGTATGCTGGCTAGTTTTGTGTCAATTTGACACAACTAGAGTTATCTGAAAGTAGGGAAGCTTAATTGAGAAAATTACAGCCTCCATAGGATTCAGCTAGTGACTGATGGGAGAAGGCTCAGCCCATTGTGGGTGGTGCCACCCCTAGGCTGTTGGTCCTGGGTTCTATAAGAAAGCCATGAGGCGCAACTCTTAAACAGCACCCCTCCATGGCCTCTGCATCAGCTCCTGCTTCCAGATTCCTTCCCTGTTGGAATTCCTGACCTGACTTCCCTCAGTGATGGACTATATGATGCAGAAGTGTAAGCCAAATAAACCCTTTCCTCCACAACTTGCTTTTCATCATGATGCTTCATTGTAGCAATAGAAACCCTAAGACAGATGGCATTATCCATGTGTCTGTGCTTCTGCCTGTTTAGTATAGACTGAGGAGTGGTAGAAGAAGGAATGATATTATATTTGAGTGTGTTTTCTCTCTCTCTCTCTCTCTCTCTCTCTCTCTCTCTCTCTCTCTCTCTCTCGGCTTGCCATGTATCTTATGTCCAACAAAAATAGTTTACTGAATTATCATTTGAAGTTTTTGGGAAAAGCCCATGTTGCACCCTGAAGAGGGCTGAGATGAAACGGCCTTGTTCTGTTGGGACTTGGGAGTTTTACTTCTTGGACAAAAGATACAAATAGATTAAGAACACGGGTAACTGAACCATGGCACAATGTATTCTACAACCTGGTGTGGCTATCTTATGAACATCTTCCTGGCTTGGAGTTACCTAGCCTGAGACTGCATGCTAGCCTGAGGCTCATGGAGAAGAAGGCTCATGTGTGTCATCTTGGGTGTCACTGTGCTGAAGGCTGGGATGTCTGAAATCAGGTGCTATCAGATTGAGCCTCAGATAGGGCCCACAGTCTGTGTTGTAAACAGTTGTTTTCTTGCTGGGTGTTTGTCTTTTCCTTGATGAACGTTTGGAGATAGAAACAGACACTCAGACACACAACCACCCCCTCTTCCTCTCTTTACCAGACACAAATCTCACCATGAGGGCTCTGCATATATGCTTCATTTAAACCTGTTTATTCCCCAAAGTCGATTCCTCCATAGGCTAACACACTGGAGCTTAGCTTATGAATTTGGGAGGAGCAGAGATAGCCCGTACCAGTGGATGTCTTAGTCAGTGTTCTATTGCTGTGAAGAGACAGCGTAACCAAGGCAACTTTTATAAAAGAAAACATTTAAATGGGGCTTGCTTACAGTTTTAGAGGTTTAGTACATTATGATCATAACACGGAGCATGGTGGCACAAAGGCAGACATGGTGCTGGAGAAGTAGCTGAGTGTTCTACATCCAGATCCCCAGGCAGAAGAGAGAGCTACAGGACCTGCATTGGTCTTTTGAAACCTCAAACCCACCCCCAATGGCATACTTCCTCCAACAAGGCCATACCTACCCCCAAAAGGCTACATCTCCTATTCCTTCTCAAGCAGTGCCACTCTGATGACTAAGCATTCAATTATATGAGCATATGGGGGCCATTCTTATTTAAGCCACCACAGTGGGCAAGGGGGAATGTTCCTGGAATAGTTTAGCCTAGGTCAATAAGAGCCAAAGCTGGAAAGAAGGCAGAACAGTCAGCAATCATTGGAGAAACATTATTGAACATCCCAGTTTTCTGTGGTGTTTCTCTCTGTTGGGTGTTGTGAGCCCGAGTCTAAGTGGAATTGGGATTGGGGAAGAGTCTCATCAGTGCTGGAGGGGAGACCACATGGAGGAGGATGCTCCTCCAGTGATTTAAAGGGAGAACTATGAACATATAATGAAATGGAAAGTAAGAGAGGGGGAGAATGCATGCAATGTGTGCAGTATCCATTTCATGTCCAAAGGACTGTGCTTATATCTTAGCTTTTACAATGTCCTGCAGGGATAATCAAGGCCAAGTTGTTAACTTTAAG